ATATTCATCCTTCAAGGTTTCGAATTCAGCTTTCATACGCTGGTGCGTGAAATTTTTAACTCTTTTTCAGTGTTTGAACTATTTTTGCATAGACTAAAGTACAAGGAAGTGAAAATCATTGAGGCAATCGTTCGATGGGCTGAATTGCACAAAACGCATGATCACACCGGCTAGTCTGGTGCGCGTTAGCAATCGTTCGATGGGCTGAATTGCACAAAACGCATGATCGCACCGGCTAGTCTGGTGTGCGTTGCTATTTATTATGTCGATGGGCTGAATTGCACAAAACGCATGATCGCACCGGCTAGTCTGGTGCGCGTTGCCATTTATTCTCATGGGCTGAATTGCACAAAACGCATGATCGCACCGGCTAGTCTGGTGCGCGTTGCCATTTATTCCTATTGATTTTTTCGCTTAAATAAGATTTTTAGGACGATGAAACTATTAATATCTGTACTAGCTTGCTTCAGGAATTGCTGGTAGGATCGCCGAGAATAAAGAGCGCGCGAAACCAAATTCATTCAGTGAAGGCGCATTTGCGAAAATGAGTGCGCGAATACCGCCCCCGCCACCACGTAAGGAGGACAGCGACGAACAGGATGACAGTGACAAAGCGGACGAATGCGACTGGGAATGACAACCTGCCATCGAATGTCTTTTTTCGCTTCTATCCCGGTGCTTTTGCGTCAAATTTTTCGAATTCTACAGCAATTTCGACCGTTTTGCCCAGTCGCGCATTTGCACGCTACCATTTCTGCACCATCTGTACTGCAAAAACACCATGTAGTGTTGCGAAAATGTTTTCGTATTTTTAATTGATCCCAGCTTTTTTTCAATTTGGAAGTCTGAAATCTGGGAGCCTCATCTTTGGCTAAATATTGTTCAAAAAAACTTTAAAACGGGTTTCACGTTACCCCATGTTCTGGTGCAAAAAACCGTTGAAGATTTGGCCTGCGATTTAATTTCATGGCAGTACCTTTGCAGAAGTATGATATCCCAGTTTGGCCTGCGACAAGGCTTCATATTTTCATCCGAAGGGTGTATGAAGAGGTAAAAATAACTGAATGTTTT